CTACAAATAAAGTACTTATACAAAACTACCAGCGAATTGCTCACCGTGATAAGTATGTCGCCACCGTTCCCTTGTGAGTCTAGTTATGACAGGAAAAACAGGTATCGGGATTTTGGAGCACGTTTGGATAGGAACTTAAAACACTAGACTCACGGCATCCGGATACCAGCTCGTGATCGTACTCTCCAACAATTTTCACAAACACTTTAGTTCACTATTGTTCATAGTTCGACAGCAAAAATAGATATCATTTAAACGTTCGCTGTTTTTAACACGCAAATAACAAAAGATTTCTCCCGCACAAGAAATCAGCCACGTTGGCCCCCAATCAAGAAACCTGCTCAGTTCGCATTCAAAGCGCAAAAACCACTATTCACTTGGTTTTACTTCCGCACCGAACAGGGAACTCTTCCCTGGCAGCAATTGCGCATGCGAATAATAAACACTAAATTACATTAAAATATGGGCCTAACACCGGTCGCGGCGCACACGGGGCGAGCGAGAGTGGAATGTGAATATGGCGCCGGCCGCGTGGTTCACGGGAACCGAACGAACAAAGGCAAGATGGCGCCGGCCGATCAGCTGGCGTCAGTCCGCGCGGTCCGTCAGACAAAATGGCGCGAAACAACAAATCGCATTCGCGCGCCCATATGATACGAAATTAAACACACGCACTTATAAACTACTGCTGATGTAAAAATATTGCTAGAAAGAAACTTTGCCTGTAACAAATTTGTTGCGCTTAAAATTATAACTTCGTCGTTCTAAGTAGCTAAGCTCTCTGTCTCCTACCTCTACATGAATTCTGATGCCATAAAATCATCCATCTTTACCCAAGGCAAGGCCAAGGCAAGGATAAAATATCGTAGCCACGACCGTCCTTAGTCGGCCACTGCCGCCGTCTGACATAAATAATCCACCTATTTCCAAGGGCAGATCTTTGGCTATCATAGGTATAGCAGCCCGTAACCGAGACGGGCTTTCAGCCAAACACCGTCACACCGTGCTATTGCAACCATCCACCTTTTAACACGGGAAGCTCTCGCACTATCATAACATAAGCTATCGTAAACCATACTAAGCTCCAATAAACTATCATATATAACCGAGACAGCCACAGTTGCTATTCCAACCATCCACCTTTTAACACGGCAAGCTCTCAGACTATCATAGGTATCGTAGCCCGTAGCTGCAACCGCCCTCAGTCCATCCACCTTTTTTCACGGCAAGCTCTCGGACTATCATAGGTATCATAGCCCGTACGTAACAGAGACCGCCCTCAGTCGGCCTCCGACGTCCGAGCGACCGCCCGCCCTCCGGGTTACGGGACGCCGCGCGCTACGGGTTAACTTTTACGAACAGTGTTCATAGAAAACTTTTCGGAACTATTTTATATGAAACTTGGCGGTTATGTTTGAAGCGTGTTGAAGTTCTTTGGGAGTGATATTGTGGATGAAGTAAAATGGTAGGTAATTTAAACATTTATGTAGTTTTAGTTTATAAAATTACCTTTGTTTTGATTTTTTACCGACGAAAAATTTTACACATTGAAAGAAAACTATTTGGAAACGTTTCTCCTGTTGTCTATCAGAAACTGAGTTTTTCTGAAATCAGTGTTTCTCTGTTTATTTTATATACAATAAATATATTTTCGCTTCTAATCGGACAAGGTGGAAATATTTAGGGGAGGCCTATGTTTGTCAGTGGACGTCCTATAGCTGATATGATGATGATGGTGTTGATGAAAAAACAATAAAGAGGCCGAGCAATTAGAAAAGTACATATAAACGATTTTTCCTCTTTATAAGATGCAGAAATCTTCCAACTGTAAAATTACTATCTTTATTGCTATAGTTTTATTGATGTTTAGATTTACAAGTAACTAGTATGAGTAAGTACTACCATAACTAGTATGATTTCTTATCATCATACACGTGATTACACGCATACAAATCTAAATTATACTCGGTTGGTAGCACTATGCGTTTCACATACTCTGTGATCAAAGAAAGTGATAATTTTACCTATGTAATGTTGGGTCTCCGGGACCAATAAATGCATTTCTTTATAAAATTAATCTTGCTGCCATTGTGCTCGCAGGGAACGCTGCTGCCCATTCCCTGTATCCATCCCTTAGTCGCCTTGTAGTACGATACCCACGAGTAAAAATGGGTTGATGCTGTTCTAAGCCGACATCACACGGCAGACACATTTTTCATACATATCAATAGATTCAAGATTTCTGTTGAATTTATTTCCTCTTTTTTTTAGCCAGTAAAAAAACCTTTCGTCTGCACAAGTTGTAAATTCGCGGGTATTGAATAGTGTTTATAAACAAAGTTATGATTACAAAGTTAGTTCACAGTGAAAAAATGGCTTCGCTTGCGCTCAGCAGTGTGGAAACTTCATACAATTGTTCGAAACAGACGCGCGACGCCGTTTCCAAGGAAATTGACCCTGTCTCACCCGAGCACAATGTTCCCCGAATGCTCTCGGGGAGGGAATAAGGTGTTCTACCATAGTAATAAGTAGCCTTTGTTAATCACAGGGATAATGTAGTTTAAAAATCGTGAAACATTTTTTAAAGTTATTTCAATCATTATCATAACCGAAAGTGACAAACCAGAAACGTGTGAGTTTCCTTACGGTTAAATCTTTATACTGCGGTTAGTTTGAATTACTTTGTAAACGATAACAATCTATAACTAAAATAATAACCCTGAAATCATAAACCAGACACAACTTTGTAAAATAAATATTTTCCGTCCAAGTTCGTATTATTTTAATATTTTTGTTATCATTAAACTTAATGATAATCGATCTATAATCATAATGTGAAATGGTGGTTCAAATTAAAATTTAAGGCAGCAAGATAAAAGAAGCAATTTAAATAATTTCCAAACTAATTTTTTGGTTCAATGTCAGTGCTGAAATTATGGTAATTTTGGGTAGGTACGTATTGTTTGGTTTGGCAAGTAATTTTTTAAAGATTAATAGTGATTATAATTATGACAATACCTTCCAATAGGGGGAGGCCCATGTCCAGCAGTGGAATTTTGTGGCTGTAAAGGTAAATAAAAGCTTCACATATAAGCAACACATTTACTGTTCGGACAAAAAGAAGCAATAAGAAATCTTATCCAATCGGTCAACCACCTGCTAAATAAACAAAGGATAAATTCCTTTAACAAGTGTACTTTGACGGTATAGTGAATCTTACAAATGCTAATGACAAGTTAAAGAGTTTTCTTAATCAAAGAAATAAAGACAATTAAACCCGCCTATTATATAGGTAAAGTTGGCCTTAAGGTCATTAACATGTATGTAACCGGACATTCTTAGTCGAGATTTAGGTATTTGAACTACGGTGACCCTCGCGTTCCGTTCCGATTTCAGGTATTGATTACCCTATAATTCAGAGTATTCATTTAGGATATCACACCTTGTTTATTCTTTTAGAATCTTCCGGTATCAAGAGAGAGACTTATCTCGCACGCGACAATACTTCTGAAAGAAGATTGCCCATGCGACAAAGTAAGTGAAGAATTTAGACAGTGTAGAGAAAAACGGAGTCAATCGCATGATGGGGAAAAAGTAGATGTACACAATCTGTAAAATTTTAACTCAATTCTAATAACTCTACAATTTAGAGTCCTCACTCATCTCGATTATAAAGACTTAATCATGCTGCTTAGGTACCTTTTTATTCCGGACTCTTCAAGAATTTACACGAATCATAATGATAATGATGTGATGACGATAACCAAATGATGATCAAAGTTGTACTTAGTTCAAGATTTGAATTCTTTCTTGAATAATCGTTCTTCTGAGCTTCTTGCGAATCGGACATTATTTTTATAACGGACATTATACGAATCGGACATTATGCGTCAAGATAGGCTTCTGAGAAACTCTCTGCGCTCCCCACTTATCTTCTAAAATCTCAGCCTCTACCCTCTACCACTTTATTCTGGCCTCTTCAAGCAATGACGCATACAACAGCACAAAGGCCAGGATATCAGTTGATGAAGTGATGAATGCGTCGGGCCCATTGTATGCCTTGTAAGGACCTTATAAAGACTCTGTATAAGTCCTATTATAAGACTATTATAGTCTAAATGAATGTCGTGTGCCATTCATAGTTCGTGATGTCGTTAATAGAGGAGCGATTAAATATTTAAAGGACGTTTGTGTTGTGACGCAGTGCGATGTCGGATTTGAATAGCATCACCCCATTTTTTACTACGGGTGTCGTAAAAGTCGAGCATAGGATTTTCCTCTTTCTTCCGATGTCACCGAATCGACAAACGATCCGATGGATCCTGGTGTCAGATATTTTTAAACCGACTACAATCTGGTATGTTTTTTGCTTCGGGCATCGCGGTTTTTCCATCCCCTTCTGGCCCAACCGTCGTTGCTCGATGGTTTTTCGTAACAACCGCCATCTAAGTAACCCTAGACAACAACTGGGAACTAACTTGACGTGCTCTCCGAAGCACAGAAGCATATGTATCATATCATAATCTAACGTGATGCTTGCTCTACACTGATAATAAAATAACTTTCTGATATGACTTTTAATATTTTTTTTAGGCGCGGCGATACGACTGGTCTTTATGGCGCAAATGGCTCTGCCTACCCTGCAAGGAATAAAAACATGACATTGTGTGCGTATTTTTTTCACTACGTCATTCCTTCTGTGGGGCGGGATCTAGTCCGTGATGACATTAATAGGGGCCCCTTATTAAATCTGTAGGACCCTTTATTCTAGTTCTAGGTCAAGTGTTTGGTAAACGGAGGGTCCCGGGTTCGATTCCCTTGGTGTGTAATGGGTAGGTACTTATTTTATTGTTTGTAGTGTGTACATCCGGTGTTTTGATCTGTATCATAGTAATCGTTTAGTAGGTACAAGATATCGATCTAGTTGGACTGTTGAAAATGTAAAACTATTGGAAGCGACTTCAACTGTGTTTTATTTTGGAAAACTTGCATAATTTTTCCACAACAGGCAGGATTTGAACCTGCTAATTTCGGCATCTGTATTACCGATACCGGTACCAACTGAGCTACCGTTGTCTCTGCCACCTGGGCTATCGCGGTTCAAAGTTAGCCTGCGAATTAAGAAGTGTATCTGGGCTTTAACGCATGGCAGAGCTCCATCTACCGGGCTAGTTTTGTAACTAATTTCGTGCTAAGCCCGTAAAAGAATAAATGTCGATTTATCTTATAATTGGACTACTTGAAACCATATACTTACTCCCTCCTTCAAATCCAAAATTGGTTTTTCTGAATCTGTCCAGCCAGACGTCTTTTTTGTAAGTATCAAGAAACTTGTAGGGTATACCTATTTGTAGCTTAATACAAAAATTATCATCAATAATAATGATTGGCATTTATCGATTGTAGAGATTTTGCTGATGCAAATTACTCTCAGTTAGTTCTAACCTAATCTGCAACCATGACTTGATGTTTCTTCCTAAATTACTGCACCGTTAGACCGTTACACAAACTTGAGTCATTGGGTTCTATAGCACAGGATAATGTCAGGTAGGTTCTCAGGTAGGATCTTACTCCAAGTGTAACATTAGCGGAAATGGCGCCCCGCTCAGTAATTTGAGCGGTATTTTTGAAATGCTATTTTTGTTGTTAATAAATTCCACCTTATTTTCATACAAATACCGTTTTTGTCAATCGGTTTGACTCATCCGCTAGCGCTGCGCGTCGCACAACGCTGCGTCTGTCAACCGTTAAAATTCCTATTGTCCTAACTGCGATACACAGCGCAAAAATAACGCACAAACGGACGTAATGTGTGTTTGTAATGGAACATGCAGTTCGCCAGTTCGTAGGAAGAGTAAAATATGAATTGACGAAAAGAACTGGCATACAGATAATTTACTTAGATGAAACTTGTTAATTTCTATGAATTAAGTATCTATGTACCTGCCTACTTCCATTTTGTTTACAATTGATTTCCAGTTAGGGTTTTTCTTGGCTATCGGAACGCCACCAGTCTGTTGTTGATCCTTAACTATCTCTGCGCCTACGCAAACTTCAAAACACTTGTCTGATTCATACTCTATTTACCTACAAGAATCTTGATCTTGACTCAAGACATACATTAAACTTTAAACGCTTGATTTAGACTCGCCCACAATGTCCGCTGTGTATGTACATATACTTACAGGGTGTCCTTTTATTAGCTGTCCAAAGAAAAAATCTAGTTTCTGGAGAGTTGGTTGGAGAGGAAGTTTGGCAAAAAAATGTTCAGCCGGGCAAAAGAATAAAGAAAAGAAAAATCAACATCCCATACAAAGTGCTTTATCTTATCACTTTGCACAATTAAAATTAATTTATTTTCTTTTAATATGATTTTCTTTCTTGGCAGATTGGTAGCTTGGGAAGTTCAGCATCTAAAGTTTCTTTGGGCCACTAAAACGTGACACCCTGTATAATGCATTGGACTGGTCGTTTTGGACGTTGTATGGAATGTAATGCATTAAATCTTGATCTAAGAGGAATCTGTCAAATATTCGTTAGGGGTTTCCGGTCATCGCGGCAATGCAGTGACCGTACAATGTTAATAAATAATAACTATTGAATCTTCATATGGTTTGAATTTCACTCATAATGTGGACTAACCATGTAGTAAGTTCTAAATACTTTCTACAGAGATCGCTGGATCGTCGCTTGGAGACGAGCATCAAGAGATAGAAAATTTGGCATTCATCAACAGGTGCATCGATAGCTCAGTGGCAGAGCGGTGGGGCGTTTACCCATGCTGCGGCCCGGGTTTGATTCCCGGTCGATGTATGACATTTTTCTATTTCTTATTTTCACTATTGAATCAGTTATCTTATCGTCATATCGACTGTTTTAATCTCAAATGTCGTAAGGGACATTTTGTCGTAAGGGACATTAAAAGCTCAGAATATGCAGTTTTTTATTCTCTATCGATCTGTGTTATCCTCGCAGTGATATCTCGAAAAATGAAGGAGTTATAAGCAAAAACAGTTTGTAGTAAGTCAAGATCTTGGACAGAAAATTGTAGTAAGTTACCACAAAATACGTATAACATATAGTGGGGTACGCTGTAAAGGCTTTTTACAATTATGAATTACTTATACGACATAATTCAAAACAAAAACAAAAAAAACTTCTGGCTGAAAATGTCGCAATTACCAACGGATAGAAGCAGTATGTTATTTACAACATTACTTCCATAAAACATTTGAAATGATTGATGTCACTTACGACATAAATTTTGTTATTGAAACGTCCCTTACAACATTTTTACGATTTAGATCTCGGGAAAATTCCTTTACAACAACACTTCCTCGTAACACTTGGAAAATTCTGTGTCTTTTACGATAATATTTTTTTCATAATAGAGTCCGTTACAACATTTTTACGGTTTCGATCTCAAGAAAATGCCTTGACTACACAGTTTTTACATACAGGATGTTTTGATGTCACTTTCCTTAAGGAGGCTGTAAACAGAGATGGGCAAAAATTATTCGCCGAATAAATTGCCTGGCGAATAAATTTTTCACGAGTAAAATATAGACAAATGGCAATGACCCATAAAAAAACTTTTGGATGAAATTGAGAGTACACAAGTATCTTGTAATAAAGAATATAAAAAACTTGCATTTTATTCCTTGTTCAATTAACTTACCTACTCATCAAAAATTTATTCGTCGGGCAATTTATTCGGCGAATAATTTTTGCCCATCTCTGGCTGTAAATAAGTAGGAGTCCGTCTCATCTAGTGATCTTCCATTCTCTTGATACCCACAGGGATAAACCTTCAACTATCCATTATCCTTTCGACCATTTGGCATAACAAACTGTCACGTGCGAGGTGGACAAAGACGCAATGCAAGCATTGCATGCTCGGCCGACATTTTTTTAAATTTCTACTAGATAAATTTAAACGTTCTTTTGCCACTCTGGCATGGGTCAATGGGATGAAATGAACTACTTCGTAAAAGAATATCCGAATTTGAACCTACTAATGTCACGCGTCAGTGCACGACCATGCTCACCTGCTGGCAGCGTTTAAAGAAAAACCCGGCTTTTGGCTCAATATCTTATAATGTCAGGTAAAACTAGGAACCTGCTAGTTTTTGCTTTCTTATCTTGTTTCTTTTTGTTGCTTTCATCGAAGACTTCAAACACATCATCTGCATGATAGCGATGGCAGTGCTACATATACAAAAATTCAGACACCAAGGTCTTACTTGCCGTAGAAGTGCTGCTGGCTGTATAAATTAGAAGTCTAGCTCTTTAAAAAGAAATGCTGCGTATTAGGAAAAATGTCTTATGACATGATTTAAACGGTCTTTATTGATGAAATGTTTACTTTCCGAAGAATTTCCTATTTTAGGTTTTCTCTACTAATAAAGCTCTACAAGCTGCCATGATTGTATGATCGTAACGATCGTAATGATTGTAACGATCTCATATCACGTACTCTATGAATACAGGACTACTACGGGTCTTTATTCTTGCTTAGCACAACCCTTCCGACCTGTTGATATCATGTGACGTAGGTAACTGCTAAGGTTTAGATAGATTAATAGATTCACTAGTTTGAATAAAAGCCCGCTTGCCGGTAACACACTGCATAAAATTTTGTTTTTAGTAGGTACTTTGATGAGGTTGTTTATAATTAACAATTTTAATTTTTTCACTACGGGTAATAAAACCAAATTATTGCGCTAAAACACCTTGGTCTAGTTAAGTTAAACTGTTTTTAATTTGTGTACTAATTTCAAATTAAGATGGTAGGTAATTCTATTATTAAACTAATTGTTTTATCTAATGATAGTTCATATATTTCAAATTGTGATTTGTTTTTTTAAATATGCTTTAATGAGGTAGTATTAACATACGCTACCAGGCTAATTATGTATGACATTGCATCATTCCGCGAGATTTTTTCGAAAACAATATTTGCGGAACGCTACTTATAGCATGCCATTATCCAACTGCGGAAAGGAGCCAAGACAAACTTTGTAAGTTTACCGGCTTCCATCAAAATGTATTATGTAATGTTTTTTATAATAAACGATTAATCTATCTATCAATCTATCTATCAACTTTTGCGAAAGACTTACAGATAAGTAAAACCTGTCTTTTTTAAAGAGAACATTTTAATATATCTAATTGTTTTAATTAAATCCTAGTTTTGAGATAATAACTAACGAAAAGTATTAACGTTAAAAAAATATTATTATAATGGCTTATGCAAACCTGAGTGGAACTCCCACGGTACGTGGATACGTGGTATTCTGATTGGTACAAAATTATCACGCGATTAAGTTACACGCAACACTGCTGTTCTGCTCAGGTTTGCTTGGGGGCTTGCTTGTTTAGGGCTTAAGACATCTGAAATTAGTAACTCTTTGACTATAATAAATAGTGACTTGTAACTTACCTGTGGTCACAAAGTTACTAAATTCAGGTCCCTTGTGAAAAGGTTATCAAAAAGAATCAAAAATAATATCCTTTTCTTTATACAAACAACATTTTACTGTAAGAAAATACCAACTTCCTACTAAAACCACTAAAAATTTATATTTAAACCTTAAACGGAAAGGTATTTTTACAGTAATTTCGTGGTAAATTTATAATTTGTACGTGAGTTACGACAGTTATCGAGTACTTACATAAAGCTTTCTAAAAATTCACGGTGCTTTACAACACACAAAAAAAATATTTCAATGTGATAGAGCCTTAGTTACTACAAAATTAATATCATTTCTGTACGTAACGCCATTGTAGTAAAAGGAATCTTTAGCACTCAAAATGTCGTAAAGGACACCTTAACCAAAAATTCGTGTCGTAAGGGACGCGATCTTTAAAACTAGTGAAATAATCATTAATTAGACTATTTATTCTGAAAGATATCGTAATTTCAATACTTTTCTGTCTAGGAATCATTTAAATCGGTTGAGATTTGAAAAAGTTATATGAATTGAAAAGTTGAAAGTCGTTTTTTTGCTCTCCTGAAAAGTAGTGGTTTGTCCCTTACGACATTTGAAATTAAAACAGTCGATATTAATCTGTTTTGTAGTGGTATGAGTTCAAGTAGTTCTAATCAATAGGATTAAACTAAGTAGTAGTATTTAGGTTGGTCGTTTACTATTATACGCTGTAGCCTCAAATGGTTCAAAATATTTCCTAAACTACATTACTTTTGTAAATTATTTGTTTTGTTGTCTATGCAGCTAGTTAAACTATACTCAGTACAAAAAAAAATACTTATCGCTCTAAGATCTAGCGTATTTGAGGCGATCCTAGGTATGCTCTTTTGACCCCGTCTGTACTTAGGTATCTACCGTTTTTCTTTTTTTATAACAAGCATTTGTAAAGAGATAATGTCCAAATTCTAAAGTTCTTTCACCAATAGGTATGCCTAGTTTCCAAGGGTAACCGGGTAAAAGAGGGCTTCTAGTATTTTATAATTTTTTCACGCTATGGTATATTGATGGTCTCTATCAATTCCAATTGATGTATTTTTGCTTCTAATTATATCCCAATACTGATATGCAGGTACTTATTTTGTATTCAAATCACGAATATAATGTCCCAGTCATTAGACCGAAACCGGACGTAGAGGGTCATTAGATTTTGCAATAGCGCTGCCAATTATAAACCCATACTAATTATTCCTTATCAATGTAAATAGTATACAAATTACCGAACATTTTGTAAAAATTAAACCGACTTTACTTCAGATCGTTAAACTACCTACTTGGTATTGGTATCCCATATGACATAAGGAACACAGTGCGGAGGCTAATAAAATTATCCTGTATCTTGAAAACTAAACCGCTAAACTTATTTTGATGAATTGTCAGCTGCTCCTGAGTTCAAAGACAATTACTAAACAATTTAAAAAAGGTAGGTACATCAAAACTGATTAGAGAGCGAAAATACTCGAACAAACGACTCTCTTTGGCACCATTTGCTCAGAAGTAGGTATAAAGAGATCAGAATAGTTCAAAATTATGCTGACCAACTTGATAACCCCTTTCTGAAGTCGGTTAAAAATGCATTCCTACCTACTGTTTAGTATGTGCTAACTTAGCACCACTGCTAAGCAGTAACTATAACTGATAGTACAGTGCAAGGAGCAGCGAACCACGACCCCTTATGCAATTATTGCATAGTAGCGGCTCCCGAACCTCTCTGTCGACGTCGGCTAAAGGCTTTCTAACCTACTTCCTAGTTATGATGACGTATGATCTCTCCGACCGATTTCAGCCATGGCAACCACTTCTACTCCTGATCAAGTCAGCGCTGATGCGCCCGTATGTGGCTATTGTAGCGATTTTGGCAGTAAACTCCCGTGCACAGTGTGGGCATGTGAGTTTGTCATTGTAGCCAATGGCGATAGGATGAAGGGCCTTCAATAAATTCATCGTGTTTGGCGTCGAAGTCTGCTTTACGCTCTCTTCAAAGTCGCGGATTTACCTTTTTACAAGACCGCGCCATTCTGGCCTCCGCTTAGTAAGTATAGTGTCTATAACTGATAGTTCAGTGCAAGGAGCATCGAACCACGACCCCTAATGCAATTATTGCATAGTGACGGCTCGCGGAGTGTTTGATCCATAACGCCTAACGTTTTTGTTGGCAAATTCACTATGAATTATGAGCTAGCTATTTATACTGTTTTTTACACAGTTACGAAAAATGCACATGGTAGCTACAATCAATAATTACGACGGCTTTCCGCCGGCTTGTTTTGTATGGAAATCAACTCCGCGGAAAGCAACTTTTCGTTCCTGTTTCGCCCCAAGTCC